CCCCCCCGACCACCATTATAGTAGAAATTCAAGTATAGATATGTATTTAACATAGTAATGTTTGTTCCAAGGAATGAACCTATACTTATTGATTGCAAAACTCCATCAAGGAAACATATAGATACGTTAATCAATTTTTTTTGGTGTCATAAAGGCTGTTTTGTTATATTAAATAAGAATTACGGGAAATACTCTTGTTTCTTGAAAATGAAAACTAAATGTGTACAAAAACGGTAAACTGATTCACACCTGAATAACACTTTTCATTTATTACATGGTTTTTCCTGTAATAAAAACCTACTCTGCATCTTGAGTAAGCGAAATTTAAATCGTCACATGCGAAGGTCCGTTATAGTATTGAACTTTACATTTACTGTCTTAGCATATATATCTAATATCTAGCATACAAATAAACAAGACTTTGTTGTAAACTACATAGTTAGACCTTGATATATCTTTTTGACATTACGAATTAATTGAATGATTAATGGGACATATCCCAGCATGAGAAAAATGACAGGAAAAACAACAAATTAATTGCATGAAATTTCAAGGTCATGTCCCGTCTGCACTTTGGTTAAGAAGATTGGTAATGATCAATTACCAAGTAACTTCTTGTTGTACATCAACTTAACTTATGTATCTAAGGATATGGATTTCGTACTAAAAATGTAGATTGTATATCGAGGTAAAAAATACAGCCTTGTGTGGGTTTTTTTTTTATTTGGATTTAAACCCATTGAATATTTTGTAATTGATTAAACCCAATCTAAAGGTGAATGTTGTCATCATACTGTCGTTTACACAACATTCGTCATGTCTACGAAGTTCACATTCATGCTTTGGTCACACTATCCAAAAATACCGCATTATTAACTATATGTTCTTTTTCAGACCAACATGGAAGATTCCAAGTTGGAGGTAATGTATATATATCATCCACGTCATATAATTATATGATGCCCCCCCCCTATCATATGCTGAGTCATCGTTATGACCCCATTTTAACATCCACTAAGGGCGGAATGGAACGTGGTACCTGTCCACCTGTATAAGAGTGCAATTGGGCGAAATGTTTATGATTTTTGGCAGTTGGTTTTCCGTACCAATAATTAACTACTTAAACGAGAAATTTGCGTTACATTTGCCTAACAGGATTTATAAGAATTATTGACGGAAATCGAGTTTAACTATTTAATACACTTTCTTATAGAGTTACAATAAATTATAACTACTAACGGGCACACATTTTATCGATTATTTCTATTTTCTACGGAAGCCTATGCGTGTCATCTTTATTTGTTTTCTAATCTCGCTATAACAAGATAGCTTATCTCGCTTTAACAAGATAGCTAATTTAATTACATTCCGTCTATCAATATTACGTCCAGAGTTCACATGATCGGTCAACACATTCGCAAATTGTTGAGAATAAAACCAAATTGTCAATTCACTACTGTTGTCTGCACTTTATTTGATGACACAGATAATTTCAGTTTTCCTCCTGATTTGACCTCGCCATGTAAATCTCAATCTCTATTTATGTCTACCTTACCTTCCAAAATGTAACACCAACTGGTCAGCAAAAGGAGATATTTTATCCGTTGCACTGAATCCTACAAAAGAAAAGTGATAGAACGTACTTTTTCACAATTTTTACGCTTAGCAATTTTCACACAGAAGGCTTTGTTTAATTATTAAGGGTATTACACACTGCACTTAATTGATTTTTAGTCCTTTAGATGACTTTCACTTACCCTAAAATTAGATGTCTTTTGGTGACTGCTTTTATTTTGGTTTGGGTATTTTTTTAGGAAAATCGATTGGAATCTGTAACATTGGAGACGTAAATAGAAATCAGGATATAGTTGATAATAAAATTTGCATTGAATGTACATTGAGATATTTTCTTTTGATCATGATTGCCAGTAAAATATAGCTTTAAAGATGTATATTCGTCAGAAATTAAAACGTCAATCGAGGTTTTGCTGGATATTATAAACGATCTTGTTTTTGTGAATAAACAAAACTATCAAAATGATGGCAGGTATCAACTTAGAAGCTCCCTATTCAAGTACTATTTTACACGATCTTTCAGCCAATGTTCTCATCCTCAACACTATATCTAAACTAAATTAGTTTTATTCGTTTTGAAAGTTTAAGGGGTAAAATAAGGGCTCGTTTTTCGAATGTTTAATTTCGATTAAAATTTCAAATAAACTTCTCCATTGATATTTGAATTTGAATCATTGATAGTCACCGTACATCGAAGTGTATCTTTATTTTCAGTGGCTTGGAAAAGACCAAGTAAGAATATTAACTTTTTTTATTGGTTTTGAGCATAGTAGTTTAACATGAATGATTGGATATAAATTGAATTGAAAATATAAATAAAACGTCATAACGGACTGAAATGACATAAAAACAACACTATGAATGTTTATTGAAGAACCATATTTCACCATTTTACTTTGCCACCGGCAATTTAAAACACCCTAAAAACACCCGTGCAATCAATTAACGTTTTTGCAATAGTCCACAAGTTAATGTTTTGTATGTTACGATATGTTGTTATTAGTGAACTGGTGACAGGTGTATATACATTCCATCCACAGATTAAACAACTGGAGGAAAAACACCAAGACGAGGTAAAAAAATGATTCCTTTGATCAATTAGATTTTAACTTTATAAGCATTTAATCAGTCTTGAAACACAACCTATCGTTTTATAGCAGTAGATGAATAATTAAAGTAGTATACTATTCCATAAATAGTGTCGAACTCAGTATATTTCTTCCCTCCCTCCCTCCCGTCCAATCATAGCAAGATGTTTAAATACATCTCACTAAGAAGTCTTATCATTTAGGAACACAAAATCTTCTGATCAAACGACGGGAAAAGAAGCATCTCAAACACATTGTATATTAATGTTTAACTACCATTTTTATGACTTGATTTAATATACAACTCATTCATTGTATTTCTCATACAATAGCCGCGAGCACCAAGGATTATCAAGATCAATAATACTTCTGGAATTATTTAAAGAGTTTGTCTTTATGAAGAAACATAATTTGCTCTATGTGGGGGTATCTACTTTGTCACAGTCCGTTGTTCATTAGTGTATACGTACAAAAGACATGTGGAAAATATTTGATACTTGGATACTCTTTACCGTTCCATTTTGGAAACAAATGTGATTATTTGATTAATATATATCATTATTAATCAAAATGTATTTAATTTAGTAATGTATTGTTTACAGATGGCACGGCTGAACAAAGAACATCAAGACGAGGTAATGCTAAAACAAAACGATTATTTTTACAATTTTCATTTACTCCCGGAAAAGTTGCCTTGTTTGAGAGGAATGCTGCGCCAAAGTCCATTGTATTCCTGTAAAGGAAATGTGCAAAATATGTAATAATTGTAAAATAGAAGGACTTGGTATTTGTTTAACATAATATCAGCCATATTTTATTCCATCAGATGGTAACCGGCCTGTTTGAGAGTTTAATCTGCGTCACAATCCGTCGTTAATGTATTCCTTTAAAGGACACAAAACAATCTCTAATTCTCGCCGATGAGATATATGTCGAAAAAATAGAATAAATTTTACGGAAATTGTGTGATGATCAAAATTAATTTTTCTCTGTCTCTACAAGAAACTTGATTGATCTTAATCTTAAATTGCATAATTTATAAATATTTTCAGTACTTCAATATCTACTCAGGCAAAAATATGATAATTAGCAACAAGCTATCTGGTAAGTGTTATGTATTAAAAGAACGTCAAGCTTTTGTGCTTTGTAGCCTCACATTGATCTATCACATTAAAAACTGAATACTTAACACAATATTTCATCCAAACAGTATTTAAATGCAACTACAATGCCCAAGCAAAACTATGTTTTTGTTTAAATGAAATGCTGTTACTAATCAAAATGCTTATGAATTTATGTATGATCTATTAACAGATTAAAGGAGTGGACCAAAATTATCAAGATGAGGTAATTTAGAAACTTTATACAAGTCACATTTTATTCCAAATTTTAAAAACCTATCCGTTAAAAGAAACATCTATGACATTCAAAGTAGTCGAAAAAAACAAGATGGTTCGAATAATCAAGCATATAAACTTTACTGTCTCTGTTAGAAATCCGTGTGATTATTTAATTAAACTAACCAAATTAATATTGAATTTACTTATCTTATATGTTTTATCTACAGATTAAACGACTGAACAAAAAGCATCAAGACGAGGTAACTTAAAACAGAAACTTATACCAACCCAATTATATTCCAATTTTGATTAATTTCTCGAACAGGTTGCCTGTTTGAGAATTATTGCTATACCTCAGTTATACAAAACAAATGTAAGACACACACAGTAGGTCAAAATGAGCTTCAGTGCATCTTACTATTGTTCCGTCCCATCGGTGATGCGAGGAGCCAAAAATTTGGAAATCTAAATAAGTCTAAAATACTGTTGAAAGACACATGTTATATATCTAATACTTGTTAAATAGAAACGTTCCGAAATTCTTTCACACATTTCATGAAAAAGGCTTCATGACTTTCTGTCATTGATATCCTGTTTCGTAAAAAGACTATGAAGGTCAAGCAAATAATTATACTGTTTATTTATTAGATTGAATAGCTTCAAACTAACTATTCAGAGTTTACAACAATACTAAGTGTCTAAGTATTCCGTATTTGTCAATAGCAATATATCGATAACATTTGATAATAGACACAAAGTTCTGTCCAAAAAGATAATGTAATATTAGAATGATGTTTTAATAATCGAGAGAAACGTATGTGTCTATATGACTTAATTTAATGAATTAATGTAATATTTCATCAACAGATGGAACGGCTTTACAAAGAACACCAAGATGAGGTAATGTTATGCATTATACCAGTCACATCTGATAAACTCATTATGTAAACTCTCATGTTTTATTTAGGAATATATGCAATATGGGCGGCTTATTCTAAGTTGTCAAATTAGCGTATCGATGTCATAAGTATGATAGTGAACTCTCCATTCCTTGCAAGTAACATCTTAATCTGCAAATTTAAACAACATTGTTTTAGATACAGAAAATAACCCTAAAAATACAAATATCTTGGTACACCTGAACAATTTTATTGCGTTGCATGAAAAAGATGGCAAAAATATGATGATAACTACGAAAGTTTCTGTATGAAAAATGTAATATTTTATAAATTTGTGCAGAAACACATTTAGATGTACCTATTTATTCACATTTTGTAAAACATAAATCGCACTTCTAGACCAATCATCAATCAAAATAAATTGAATTAAATGAAACGTTGGAATAACTTCATCAGTTGAAATTTATCGTCTGTTGGTTTTGATCTCCACAAAATGTTTTTTTCTTAAATGCACAACCACCTTCAACCTACAAAACACCTACAGTAGCTTCACCTTTCACCCAGAAATCTTTCTCTATTCCAAATGCGTTGTAAATAAGTAAATTTATGTTCAACTATCTTAATTTTATTTACAGATTGATAGACTGGAAGGCAAACTCGAGCACCAGAATTTTCAATAGCTGCAACTACAATAAAAAAAACCGCGTCGATAACTTTATGAGTTATTGTAAGTTTGTAAAAAGATACCTGAATCAAGTTTATCAATGTGATTGCCAAATGGTATTGGAGTTTGTTTTTTGTTGTAGATTTATTTATTTTCACTTAATTTTCTTGAAGGATAAGGGCAGCAATTTTAGAACTTTTGCGTCATCAGGTAATCAGATTTATGTTTGGTTCAATACTGTCGTAGGAGGTCAATGACTTTACAGTTACAGAGTTTCTAAAAAAATAATTGTTTTTAATAAATCAAATTAGGAGGAAGTTCAGCAGAATGTAAGTATGAGCTACTTTTCTTTTTGTGTTACAAGGGAAATATTGTATATTGAGACCTTACACTTCTACAATGGCTTACCTTGTTATGCACATTCCTTCTATCAAATTACTAATAACGTAAGTTATTCTCTTGTGCACAAAACAAAACTATATTTTACCGTACAATAAACTGAAAGTAGCATTTCATTTTCATTTCAATATTTTTTTTTGAAAAATCAAAAGGATTGGATAACAGGCTATGCCTACATACGTCCTCTCATAGCCAGAATTACAAACAAACATAAACTATATATAGAAAGGAAGAGAGAGAAATGTTTCATGTTTATGTAGCAGAAGTAGTTACAGAAATAGTAATGCAAGCAGACGTTATATATAAATAAATAAATAAATAAGCTTCATTTATTGAGACCAATTGTTAGGCAGCAAGACATCAACAAGCTACTAGGGATTCTGACCATACAAAGTCCTTAGCCATACACTGGCTAAGGTCATTCACCCTAGCAGACCTTGGATCCCCTAAACTAGGAGATTTTTGGCAATACAATGTAAACAATTTAATATTTTCAGCAGAAGTCATTATTTTTTATCATCATCAACCAACCACCTACATTCATCAATTTATTTTATCAATTTATAAAGTAGGAATTACTTCTATAGAAAGACTTGTAAACGATACAGAAACAACTAATGGTGGTAAAGTAGCAGAATGTCCATTCTCGATACTACAGGGATTACGCTTACTTTCGCTCTCTGTATCCCTGGAATATGTCATGACAAAATCGAAGGCTCAGCTAGCTCCAACTTATAGATGAAACAGGAAGACTTGTTTGATCCTTTGATGTACATCAAAAGAATCATGCAGTCGCGTAACGGTAAAATTGACTGTCTGTGAAGTTGAGTGTCGCTTCTCTGTAATCATCAAGGGACAGGTATCAGCCTAGCGATTGATCAGGTGGTTTTACCTTAGATCAATCAAATGTAGCTAGCCGCGTGCTTCAATTATGCTATGACATATTCAAGGGGTGTATGGAACGAAAGTGAGCGTAACCCCTTAAGAATCGAGGATGCATTGTTTTGTATCGTTTTTAATAATTTGGCTCTAAATAATCTGCGGCTGATTATTTCAAAATGATTTTACTTTCAGCGATTTATTCGTAAGACATATATATAATAATGTTTACGTTGCAGAGTTTCCAGCTCTTGTGAGCAGGTATTGATTGTTACGTCATTTGTTTGTGAGAGTAACGTCATAAATGTTTGAGAAAATGAGGTAATTTTCTCACACAAACTAATGACGTAACATTCAATACCTGCAGATAACTCTGCAATACGAAAAGACGGAATATACGATGAGCTTAAAACAAAAAACGCACGTAACATTCTGATTGTATTCTATTGATGGCCTATCATCATGCAAACTAAAACTAAACCTTTTCTTTGTGGTGCGCCCTCATATCAGACTAGCATATGATAGTAGACACAATGATAAACAATTCCAATGCAGTAAATAACTTTACCAGAAATTAAGACCTGTACGAAGTTTCCCGATGTTGGCCGATGTTTGCCGACTTTAGTAAACGTTCCGGGTATTTGTTTGCAGTGATGGAGGATACAATAACGAGATCAATCCTATTGAATGTGAATACATATCTTTCTAAAACCCGGATTGTGCTGACGGTGAAACAATGATCTCTTTAACTTTGTTCCGTTTGAAAAATAAGTTTAATGCAATTACATTTTATATCAACTTGTCTTTTTTTGTGTTTTATTGTTACGAAAATAAAGGATAGCAAGAGACAAGACAAAGAAATACAAGAATTGGTAAGTTATGTTCAATAGAAAGAACCACAGCCTAATTGAATTGTGTCCTAATTAATGACCTGGCAAGGTGCGATAGTCACTTTCACGATAAATGTGGTGTCACCGTATACAGATTGCCCTACATTACCGGAGACACAAATATTGTCCTCATTTGAGGAGTTACATCTTACTTTGGAGGGATGTACGATATCTTTTTAAGATATACTTTATACATTGTCCGTCGTTCGTAAGCGATCTTACTTTGACTGTTCCTAGAACCCTACTTTAAAATTTTGAGGAAACTTGAAGGTTCATGTAGTTCTCAACATGTCTTAGGTAGCAGTGTACAGTAGCGTACGGTGGGCATGGGTGATATTTTTGTACATTGAAAAACCCCTGTTATATTACATGTATCGAAGTTTAATATAAAATCAGCACTAAAATTGTACATGATGAAGTGGATTATTTGTCTATTTTTGTACTCAACACATGTGTAAATATTGAGAAAAATCCGGTTGAACGACCTATGCTAAAACGTGAGTATTTCTGTTACCGAGTTGGCGATGTTCAATTTAAGACAGGTTTTAAGAAAATAAATACTTCTTGCGTGGGTCAAAGTTTGGGGTAAAAATCTTGGAGATTTGCATTTTTTGGCGTTTTTTGATGTGGTGACCATGGTTTTCACAAGTCCCAAATCTGGGGAAGTCATTTTTTGAAAAAAAATCATTCTTCTCAATATAATGTATTCAAAATGTAGTTTATAAATATATATATATATATATATATGTAGGTGTGTTCTGCAGGATACATCCGCTATCCATGTTTACTTGAGACATGCCCTTCATTTCTACTGTACTCTGCTGCATTAGAAGATAAGAATTTATGCTGACAACCTTAGGGAAGAGGTTAGGGTTAGGGTTAGCGCAAAACCTCAAAACATTATCTCCTCTATGTTACTAGGTGTATGAGACCCGTATTTCGCAAAATGACAGTTATAGATAAAGATTAAAATATAAACTCAGAAAGAAGCTGACAGTCCGAAGAGTCTGGGAGCGGGACCATAAGGTGTGCAAAACAATGATCATCGCATGTCGTGTCAAAGTCACTGTTGGTTCTAATGGGCAATTCTCATGGATGGGTTTTCCAAGGGACTGATAATGGGTCATTAAATGCAAAAACATTCAAACAACATCCCGTCTCTAAGGGTCTGGTAGATTAAGATCAAACTTTCATGAACTCACTCTTTGTTTAGCTTTACCATATTTAGGGGAACACTTGATCCAATGAGCTTTCATATTGCTTCTAATTATTACAATTCAATTTTCTTTCATTGAAAGTTAGCATTTTTTAAGGCATTTCATGTATAATACATAATGTATAATTGGAAGTGAAAAAAAAAAGAAATCCACACACGCGCGTGAAGTATTTCTCATTTTTTTTATGAACTTTTACCGCATATTTTCCCAGTTTTTACACTCCGCTGGGGCCGCTTTCTGTTCAAAGTCCAATAAAATAAAATAAATCCTTCTAAATGCACACAGTTATGATTTTATTCACATTTTGCGAACCATTTACTTTTAAATACCGACAAATTGGTCAAACACTGTAGATTACAAATATGAAAAAAATAACTCTTTCCAGAAATAAAAACAAAACAAAACGTGCATTTAGTCATATTCAATATTGCCGTGAAATTCATTTTTTTGGACTTCATTTTTCATTGGTAATGGTAGAAAAAAATATTTGTACAACAAATTTATATCAGATATAGATGAAAAACCAAGTTTATGTACTTGCAAAATCACTTTACAATTCAAAAAACGTAGTAAATCAAAATTGAAAAAAACAATGTATAGTAACGAAACCCCCTCCTTTCAGGTTTGACCAATTTTGTCCATTTTCGATAGTTAAAGTGTCACAGTAAGTTGTCTTGACATCAAATATTCCAATGTGCTCAAAGTACCATGATTGTCTTGATACATCATCCTACAATACAATTATATGAATTCATCAATATTTTTCTATGTAAATTTCGAAAAATAATTATGTTGTATTCCGCGTGTGTTTTGTCGATTTGGTCAACAACGTAGAAATCTAACGAGTCTTATTGCAAAAAATGGTAAGGGAGACATAGAAAAACTTCAAATTATATTAAACTAACCCTACACAACTAAACAGGACAGAACACTTCACCCTTTAATCATTTTTAAGGTGAAAAAACATGGCGAACGGTATTTAGGACGAAACGACCTGACACCAATCTTTCCACCCAGAACGTTCTGAATGTCTACCTAGCCTCACCTTGTTAAAATAGGACAATCTCTGTTTTCACAAATTCCTTCCCTTTAACACACATGTCCACCGCTTTCATAATAATAACAAACACTTAAAATCCCTAATTTTGACGAGATTTTCTTTAAACGGCCGCGCAAATAACCAACAGTCGCCATTTGTTTACAATCGGGTTTTTTTCCAACGGGCGGTAACTCATACCGAAAACGAAGTCATGATTACGAAGTTTCCCGATGTTGGCCGATGTTTGCCGACTTCATTATACATGGAATACCTTAAAGGTTGCCGATTTGCAATAGATCATAATCATGCTGTGTGCATTCCATTTTTTCTTGATTTTAGAAGCAGACGGTGTCAGTGTTGTTGAAAGAAATAGCGGTAAGCATACTTACATTAACATCCTTATCAAATGCAACTCTTTACAATTTTTAGGGTTAAAATAGCATAGATGTCACCTCTTTGCACATAATCATAACAGCAGATAATTGTGAAGTAATATATATTAGGAAGCCTTCGGGATGTCGATTGCATAATTCTTAATGAATTATTTTTTTTCGATCTACGATTTACTTTTATTTTTACTTTACTTTTCATAGGATGTAGCTTTATGAGATTTCAAAA